ATTTCTTAACACATTCATAGTACACTGGTCATCCGTTATTACGGATGTATAACCATATTTCTGAATTGGTAATAACAAGGTTTCTTTGTTGAAAATATATACATTTCTATCCGTTTCTTTATTCGTTCGAGTTCGTCCTTTTTTCTGCATGTACCATTTATACATATATTTATATAATACGAATCTATTATACGATTCCGGTATCTAATGTCATCAACCGACTATGTATATTATACACTAGATTCTAAATAAAAACTTCAGCAAACTATGTACAATCCACGTATAAATATGAAGAAACGATGATAAAATACAAATACTCATTCGCTTTAATTATGTATTTAATGTTCTCTGTAAGTGCATATCATAGCCACCGATTAATATCAGATAACACTCGTAAAGAAAACGTGAGATTTGATGCTTCAAAAAGAGGAAACATTTGTGTAAAATAAAAAAACATTAAATTTAACTTAATAATTGACTTGAGTTCATAATTATTTGAAGTTAAATTATTTCGTTTAAATCGTACACTTGTAGCACATGGATATAATATCGATGTTAACACTTGTATTTGAAAAACTAAAAAAGCATCATAGACAACAAAGTTTCAAAAATTGAAGCTAAAATTTATTTTAAAATGTATCGAAATGTGTGTACATTAATTGTAAGACCATACAAAAATTAACCAAAAATAAATTAAATAAATAAAATACGTTTAACTGCTCCTCAAAGTAATCAGTGTGATGTTTTATTTCTAACTAATAGTATTAAAGACATAACAATTACTCAAAATTCTTCATTAAAATCATTGTAGTTTTTCTTTATTATTGTTGATAGCCCATTAATATCAAGTTACCTGTTTAAAATATTAAAATTTCTAGAATATATATATATCAATATTTATTATGTTTATTATATCCACAATGAATTAAATTAAATTATTAAATTATAAGGAAACAATGCTTGACTGATGAAACAATTGCTGTTTATGTTTCACTAAAAATGGCTAAGTACAATTTCGACATCAAAACTTTTTGTACACGGTAGAGCATGGAATAAAAAAATTAACTGTTATAATTTAATCTCCTAGTACAGAAATGTATTACCATACGTCTGACTTACGATTTATCCATCAGTACACGCTATATAACGTGTTTTCCTAATTTCACTAAAACATAGAAACATAGTACGCGAGCAATGTTTTTTTGTTCGTTTTCAATGATCATTGGTACTAATTTTATTTTAAAAAAATGAAAACATTTTAAATCAGTACGTTATTTTCTTATTAACTATTATTTTACCTGCGTTATATTTTATGCTGATTTTTATATTTTTTTTATCGTTTTGATGCTTTATTTCTTCTTCTTGGCTTCAAAACTCTCCAAGAGTATTCGCCGTCACGGTTGGTGCCTTATTTATTATTATTAAATAGTAAATATAACATTTTTTTCTCAATAATAATTTTCTAACAGATATTGAATTGTAATAGCTTTTGGAATATAATCTTAAAATGTACCACATATTCGTCGTGTTATTTTTATTTTAGAAACGTTCATATTAATCATGGTTTAAAAATTATTTTTTATAAAGCATATTTATATTTTCTACATTAGTCTTCAAAACGAGAAAAATTAATTCAATTTATTTTTACTTTGGTGATTTAGCATGTTCATTTTATCATTTAAATAATGAAAAAATCATATAGTGTAAATAAACAATTTCAAATTAGTGATTCTAACATTATAGTATTTGTACACCCTCTCCCAAGACAAAATGAAATCGTAATCGAAATGTTGAACCCCACTTTCTATATTAATTTATAGCCGGAAATAGAAATTCGACAACGCGTTCATTTTGAAGATTCACCGAATATCCCTTCATCCCTTGAGTGCTGGTTATTCAATAAATGCAATAGTTGAATAATTTGTTTACCTACACAAAAACTTAAGGTCTCATTAAGTATATTTATTGAACGTTGTATGGGTAAATTTAAATTTGATGCCTATATGTTATATAAGTACATAAGTTGTAGTAAAATAAGTTGATATGTTCCTATTTCATTATTGTACTGAAAATTAATTGTTAGTAGATATGAGTATATAACTAAGAAATGTTCGATTGGTTCAATTATTGAATTGAATAAATTTATTTGACCTGTATTAGTATATTAGTGTACTTGTACATAGTAATACGTATAAAACGATGTATGAGTTATTATTATTGTTTCCATGAACAATTTTTATTATTACAATGCGATCAATTCAAAATATTTTATAATACCAGTTTAAAAAAAACGTTTAAATTATTACACTACTGCTGATGTTGGTTGATAATTTGACAGTTGAACTGATAATTAAGCCGACAGCAACAAAACTGTCATAATTTTGGGTATCAATATTCCTTTTTTTTTTTCAAAATTAAAAATCTATATAAGGTACCTAATATTAATAATTTATAATCAATTTGATTTACAACATCTAAATGTGACGCATTAATACCAGAAGGAAGAAAATACACAGCGAAGGTAAATAGTTTTTGAATTGAAAGCTTTCACGATGTATTCGAATTTGTTTGATGTCAGACGCATAGGTTAACCTAACCGCATAGGTCTCACGAAATTAAGAGTTTGATTAATCAATTGATTGCGGTTTGTTAACTCGAAAAATCATAAATACATATTGAAATGTTTGAATTAGATGTACACATACAGATTTTGCACCAAAAGCTATATAAGAGCCACCAGAAATTTTACTGCTGAGTTATTTGGGGGGATTAGTTTGAGGACCAATCATTTTTTACTCCTATCATAATTATTTCTTAATATTTACCTAAGGTATATAAAAATAAAACCCAAAGATTTTATATGTACCAATTAACGGGTAAAATAAACGATGTAAGTAATTTATATGTATATAAAAAATGTTCTTTATTCGCAATTTTTTATTTTTCGATTTTATTTATTTACTTTTCACAAGGGTTGTGCAAGTACGTCCCTCCGCAACCCTTCGAAGCACCCTTGGCAACGATAATACATCGCGTGATAACAAAAACAGTTACTCGAATACACGGAACTGAAAAACAAAACAAAGCCATACAAAATGAAGATGATAGTATTGTACGCGATCAGCACAAAAAAAAAAAATAGTGATCTTATTCTGGGGCACTTACAAAGTGTCGGAACTCGAGATGAAAATTCAGTAGACGATCAGTTTACGATTAAATGCAGAAAAACTCTATCGCGACACGGACGTCGAAGACAGTTTCGATCGTAAAGTCGTTTTTCTCTATTCTTTATTCTCTATTAGTATACGTCGAGGGGATATAAATCTTGTTTGAAGGCGGCACGTGAAATCTCCAGAAATGAAAGAGAAACAAGAAAAACGCGCGGACAACACTCTAAATATTCATGCACTTTCGAGACCAAGTGGATATAATACGCATAACGAATAGCGCGCGAGCGGGACTCAGTCGACTTCCTCTCGGACCCTACGGAATATAATGGAATAACGTTATTAATATTACTATCATCATCATAATCATCATCGTCCACATCGTCATTCCGTACGTCTCTCTCGCGCATTGCTATACACAAAAGACACCGCTGGTCGTGTGATCGATGTCGACGACGACGACGACCGTTGTGTTGGGGGTCGAGTCGCATCCGGCAGATGTGCACGACGATGACGTTAATCTGTTGTCCGGGCCGAGAGTGGAATATGTTCGGGGGCTGTTCAACGACGGCGGCGGGTCCAATAATAGTTGTCACCTGTCCTCGTCGGGATGATAATGACGTTATTATCGTCGGCATGTCTGACGCGTCGTACCGCGCGTTTGCTTACCCGGCTTATAAGAAGATGCCAGGTCTATACACGGGTACAAAGTCGCACGGCCGATTGTCCGCTCACGTCCAGCGATTGATATTCAAATTCCGTTTTCGTCACAACGAAACGCGCTGATAAATGACCTCAAACCGTGTGCTGGAGACACGAAAGCGGTTTCGAGCCTCGGTTTATGTGCACGCAACGAGTATCGTATTATTATACGTGTGCATTGTGTACACCTCTATCCCACACGTAAGGGAGGATGACGGTCGTGTTATTCTCACGCGCAGTACCGCGTACGAGTATGTATCCTTTACCATGCGTAACGGGTACAACATTGTTTTGCGACTGCCGACGAAAACGCCGTACGTTTTCCATACGGTTCGCCGCGGACTTGGCGTAACCGCTTCTTCCGTTTCGATTTACGCGCATGCCGGACACGTGGCGATGCGCCCGTATTTGTTTTCGTCGGGTTTCCAAGAGTGAGAGATGCGTACCCGTCCTAACCCTTTCCCGGCAACATGTGTTTAATCGTTCGGTTGCGGGATATCGGTTGTTATAGAAGGCTACGGTCGTGCAAAGGATCGCGGTGATTCCGCGTCGTCGTATCGGAAGACATTGCGCGGAAACCGATCGAAATGATGTAAGTAACCCGTCGGACGTAACAGCTGCAGCAGCAGTAACAGTCGAGCACTGCGGTGTTATTACAACTATTCGTTCCACGACGAGGTCCTTCGCGCGATCGCAACAGCACCGTCGAAATGGAAACGACCGTGTAATTAAATATAGGCACGTCGAGACAACGGCGGCCGGAGAGAACATTTCGTATAAGATATCATTGGAAACCGAATTTGCCCCCGAGTGCCCATTACGTTTTTACTCCGCGCGGAAGCCGGTTCTCCGGACGGAGACCAGAAGCTACGGTCGAATTACCGCCGCGTGGCGTACGGGTCGCGAGGGGTATCGATAATACTTCAGCAGTAATAAGGATATCATTATAATGCACGTGTGTGTGTCCGTGTGTGTCCGTGTGCGCGCGCGCGGTAGCCGTGGAATAGGGGGAGAGAAAAAAAAATGACGAAATAACAACACAGAATCGGCCGAGCTGAGATTGATGCACGCGCGTTTCGTACGTTATTATGAATATTATTATACGTTTGTTGTTGTTGCGGTGGTGTAACAATGAAATCCAACACGCAATGGCCTCCTCCTCCTCCTCTCGCCCAAGGCGAACGGGGATCGCCAGTTTTTGGAACAGGCGAGAGCACAACAACACGCATTGTATCGCATACGAGTATATTATGTTTTCGGATTAAAAAAAAAAATTAAAAACGAAATCAAATGTGTCGAAAAAAGAAAATGAAAGACCGATCGATTTTAGGTATCAGGCTTCTAGCGCCGTGCATTCGATTTTTAACCGTCATGGTGGCACGTTTACCGAACGTTTGAACCTTTGCGATCACGTGTTTTCATTTTCGAACCGTTTGCATTTGGTCATGTTTTTTTCATAAGAAATACCGATCTGTATTGGGTATGGACAAAGAAATATTATGCGTACGAATAAATAATAATATTAATAATAACAGACACGACAAAACGAATAACGATAACAGTAGTTACGGTCTTAAAGTTCACGACGGACTCGTCGCGGTACACGTATGTGCGAAAACCCTCTAACGGTCTATTAATTTATTAATAAATTACCCTTCGGTACGTACATGCGTGTATAGGCGGTTTGACATTTTTCAATTACTGATTCAAGTATAGCCTACCCACCTACCAAAAAGTCATATAAGATACAAAAACTTATCTAATTTTTATTAAATTTATCAATTTTATATTACTTACCGCTGCCAAATGCCAAAACCAAGTATCCACTTATCAAAATGACACTCACCCCGAATATTTTGGTAGTTCAATGAACCAAAAAATTGTCGATCAAGCCACGTACATGCATCTACGACATGAACGCAACTAGAGCCCAAATATCGCGGGTGCTGAAATTGCTGAAAATAAAATAAAATGGTATTTAACTGTAATTACTATGGATTACAGAGATCTGAAGAAAAAAAAACATTAGTGCTACATTCGAACTCAAGGGTGCTAAATACCCTATTGCGACCCCTTAGTTGGGCCTACGATACACGAGAAAGAATCGAATAACGCGTATGACACACGAGGTCGACGATTCCCAGGCGGGTACGGCAACCGTACGTCCCTGGTCGTCGAGAAAGCAAGGTGATTCGTCACGACGACGTTTAAAGATTATCGGAGACGAGTGCGCTCGTATCCCTCGTTTCGGACCGCTTGCGACACAATAAACGTATTGAATCCGTCTCATTCACTAAAATAATACGGAAACACTTGAGATATGCGATATAACGATGTGATCAATCATCAAACCACGACGACGAGCACTCCGATTGTTTACATTACGCGCGCATTGTAACATCATTCGTGCGCCGCTCCAAGGCGAGCACGTACGTTTTAACGCGGCGACGACACCGCGTTTGTGAATTTGAAAAAAATAAGCATTTTCTGCAGGTGTTTGGTGGGGATAAGGAAGTAAAATTAAGTTAGGTTTATGAGTAAAATATTTGAATCACAAATTAAACTGTTTAACTTCTATTTCATATAATGATACCACAAAAAAAAGTATTATACATTTGACTATCGAGAAATCGTAGTAGCAAGGTTATTGACAAGGTTTTAAAGTTAAACGGAATGTTACAAAACGTTCCTTATTGTCATGTTAATATCGTTATCGATTATAATACGAATAATATTCAAGATAGAATAACGTTCAAGATAAACAATTTTTTTTCAACGTAGGATTTGTAAAAATATTATTATAACATATTATCTAACAAGTGTATTTAGATATATTTACATTTTTTTTTGTTTAATTTTGTTTTATAGATTTCGCATGTTCGTTTTCAAATAATATTAATCTAACAGAAAATTACGAAGCATATTTTAAAGAGTTATTGGAATTCTATTCACCACAAATAGATAAAAATAATGCAACAGCTGAATTGAAGCATTGGTGGGTTAAGCTCCAAAAAAGTGGGATTATATCCAAAACAGGAATTGATGCTCTTATTGAATGCAATTCAGAAATGTATTCGAATATTAATCTTTTATTAAAAATATTATTTGCGGTACCGGTTTCCACTTCAACTCCCAAACGTATGTTTTCAGGACTCAAAGGAGTTAAAACATATCTCCGTAACACAATGTTTGAAGTAAGTTCATTATTATGATTAATTATTATTGAAGCATATAGTTTAATTTTATTTGAAAATCAAAATAATTATTGGTATCTTTTATTTATTTTAGGATCGATTAAATCGTTTAACCATGATAACTGTTCATAGATCAATTGTACTAAATCCTGATGATTTGATTGACGAGTTGGTTAAACAGCCAAGAAAATTAGATTTTCTTGTATGAAAAAAAAAAAATAAAGTTTTGTACATTACATTATATTACAAACAAAATTAATTCAATATTTTAATAACTATCGTTTAATTTAAAAATAAAATGTAATTTTAATATATTCAATATTTACATTTTGAAGAATTTATTATAATATAGTATAGGTGCTAAATTGTGTAGAATTTTAATGCAGCATTTATTAATACATTATGTCTACCTATATAATTAGTTTAATGATTTTTGATGACATAGTATTCCCAAGTACCACTCACCATTGTACTTGAAAATCTAAGTATTTCGTGCGTAAAAAAATGTCTATCCCTCTCTAAGACAAATTCCTAATTACGCCACTGATCGGAGTAGATTTCATGGTTTTACAAATCCACTCCGTAAACAATTTTCTGTAACTGATATGAACATTAATTGATGGCACAAGTTTTTATTCATTCGAATTCTTACCTTAATGAACCACGAAAAAAGAATGTCGTTGTAGTAGATACGTATACGTCATGCGTCTGTGGCCTGGTTGTCAGACCGAGGGTTAGTTGTCAGACCGAGGTATTAGGAGTCTAAAATGCAATGCTTTGTGTAGCAGTGGCGGCGCGAAGGGGTTATACTCGTATTTGAATTACGTGGTTCATGAAAAAATGGGGGTGGGTGGTCTTTGAAAAAAAATAATTATTATGGTAAAATACCCATACATTGAACACGTTATAATAACAATATGAAACATGAAAAACAGGAATATAACTTATAAATTTGAAATATAAGCATTTATACACGCAGTGAATTCATGTAATCATTCGTAGCCGTTTAAAAGTATATAGTGGAATCGATTTTGTTGGGTGACCCTATGAAACCGGCGATTCAAGTAGAAAAAAATTCCCACCACCACTGTCATGAAGTGATAATTATCAATTGTTTTTGATTTTTAACGTTTCTGTCGAGCATATAATAAATATGATCCAGATTATTGGTAGGTACAAAAGTGTAACCGACTCACACGAATGAACGTAACAAATAACGTTCTTATAACGTAAGGATGAAAGTTGATTGGAATACCAATTCGTAAATAAAATAGATACTGCGTTTTTTTAACTCGTTCTATAATAATAATGTGTAACTATAAGTGTATGTAATAAAAACAACCATTTTGTTTTATTAATATGCAACAGAGACATGTATTGTGAACTAGTGATGGGAATTATTCGAATAGGTATATATCGTAAATAATTCGAATATTCAAATATTTGAACAATCGAATATCAGTATTCGATGCTACAATACAATTCGTAACGAAAATTATTTGTTTAAGTTTTCGCGCAACACAAAACGTTTAACAATAATAAATTAAGATAAGATAAAAACTGAATCAAAAAATAGATTGACAATTGATGAAAGATTGACAATGTGTATGGAAAAAACCCGATAAACCTACTTAAATATCAAGAAAATAATTTGACTTTTGATTTTATTTTGAATAAGCTAAATTTGTTCAGTATATCGAACAAATATGCATTAAAACCCAACAAAATGACCCAATAATACAAAAAATGTTCTAAAAATGAAAAAATGTCGAAATATGCAAAAAAAATGCAAAATAAAATTTGTAGTTTTAAAACCCTCGTTACATGAAACGAATTATGTTTTTATAGAGCATTACATATGATCAACCGAAATGCACTTTGCATTGAAATCCGGGCCCTATTAATAATAAACGGTACAAAAAGTTTGTCACGGAAAAACGGATAAAACAAATTAGGTATCATCGAATACCGATATTCGTATAATTCGATTATTCGAATGTGCATTACATTACTGTTGTGAACGTAACTTTTGGCTTGCGCAAAACCGTGCTCGTTTAAAATAGCGAAAAATAATATTAATAAGTCGTAATCTCGGAGTTCAGTTCCGTTAGTACGCTTTGCGCTTTTGTAATTGCCCATGTGGACGCCGATGAAGACTGCATTGTTTTTGGTTTTTTTTTTTTTTTTTGCGCGCGCGCGCGGTTCTCGCGGTTTTTCGCGACACCGAACCGGAGCACGACGACGTATATTTATTTACATAATTATAACGTGATACGTGTGTACGCGTGATTACACGTGATTCAATCGTGAGCCGCTCCGAATGGGGTAATAACGGTAATAACGTATTTATGTAAGGTAATCCGTGGGCATTGTACTGCTGCGTACGTGCGCGCCTAAAGAGTTTCATTAACCTCGGTCTTAAATTACCGCACCACCGACGTAAACTGTTGAAACGTTTCCCCGTGTCGTTGAGACGGTTTTATTTCCCCTCTTCTATTTCTGCAATACCACAATACAACCGATGTCGTTCGAGCAATTCACCGCATGGGTGGCCGCCGCACGTTGTACGCGTGTATTTTTTTATTTTTTTTTTTTACCCTCGACAATAAATCGTTCAGCGCGCGCGCGCCATATTTATTTATTTTTTGTGATATTTAACGTCGTCGTACGTGCCGATTGGAAATGCTGAATGCCGTGGCGCGCGATAGATCGGATACCTGCGCGCGTTTAAGGTTGCCGCACACTGGGTCGGAACGGAACGCAAAAAATTAATAAACATAATTTTAAATGAGGTCCCTCGCGCTGGATCGGATCGGATCGGAACGCGACCGAATTGTTTTTTCGACAATATTTTGACGGATTCCGAAACGTTTCGATCGCAAACGCCTACGTACTGACACTTTGCATCGGTGCGAAATATACATGTTAACTTTTGGTCATCATCGTTTTGTACTTTGTAGTTGTGTACAAAACTGAAAGTCTACAACAATAAAATTTTTTATTGTAAACATTTTTAGTATTTGTTCGGTACAAATAACTTTGACACAAACAATTAAAATATGTCAGATAAAAAAATTATACGTGAAGTGCAGAAATATTCATATTTATATGGCGTTGGCCGTGCCGCAATTACAAAATAGGACGCCCGTGTGCGGTAATTATACTGTCCCTTCCTAAGATTTATTTTTGTTGTACGTCTTATTTATAACTAGAGCTCGGATGTTAATGACCAAAATTTCATAAAAATATGTATTATAAAATGTCAAAATATGTAATTATATGCCATAAAAATTATTAAATATACCTATTTTTTCAATAAATATATGCAAAAAAAAATAGTTAATATTAATTAAAAAAATGAATATGCTCTTTTGAATGTGTATTTAATATACTTTATTACAAAAAACACAGCTTACAAATATGAAAAAACATTTTAATTAGTTTTCGATTTATTAAAGTTAAATTTTACATAAGTTAAGCACTTTAAGTATCAGGACTACAATGTTCAATAATAATATTGCTGATATTTTTAAACTTGAAGGGCCTTCGACTCGAAGAAGTTTTTGTAGAATAAAAATAACACAATTATCGGTAATGATTGATAATTTATAATAATATGGACAATTTTTAATATTATACTTAAAATTTATAGAATATATGCTACTTAATCTAGAAATAATCGATATATGCATTTATATGCTCAAAAATGTCAAATATGCAAAAATATGCAAAATAAGTTTGCATATCTGTAATAGAGATTTCATGAATCGAATTTATATCATATTAAGGTATAATTCTGGTTGCACGAAAAAAATATGTCAAGTCATAAACATCGGAGCTCTATTTATAACTATCAATTTTTTTAGGTTTTAAAACACGTTTCACATCAGTTAGTGTATGATATATATGTAAATATATCAAATTAAATACCTACAACTGTTGTATATTATACTTCACTAGATATTAATGTAGTAAATTAATTTAAGTAGTTTAGGTAGGTATGTTGTATGCCTACTCAAATACTCAATGTACTCATTGTCAAAAAAATATTATATTATTCTAAAATGTTATGACATCCTTACCTGAATTTTAAAAAAAGTTTTTTTTTATTATAAAATAATAATATAATATTATTAAATTATTGTGTGTTTGTAAAGTGTAGTATATTTTAGGCTGGGACTAGGGGGCCTCCCAAATGTATGTAAGCCTTGGGGTCCGTGTGCGCGGCACACTCTGCACACCCGATTTTTGCGGCACTGAACATTGGTCATCAAATTTACTACTAAAATATAATAAATTAAATATTAACCTCAGTGTTACTGCTAACTGTTCGTCTGCTGGTATACATTTTCGAAAATTTTTGTTTGTTTTTTGTATATCAGGTTTTATATGCTCTAACAATTGGCAACATTTTTCGTAACTCATCCGGAAATATTAAAAAAAATTGTAAAAAATTGTGTATAGAACCATCCTTCTTTTTCCCTTGCCATAAGTATGCTATGAACTCACTATCTTTTTATCGTACAGTTTTCTTTTTCTTCAGCTTCTGACAAAAGAGCTATCATGTGATTATCATGTCTTCTTCGTCACTACTTGTATCATTCATTATATTATATTATATATTATATTTTACAAACACTCAAAAATATTAAAAATAAATAATGTAACAATAAGCTTAAATAATAATAATAATAAGCTATATAATAATAATAATAAAAATAATAATAAGCTTAATAAGATCAAAATGGCCACCAAGTATGTATGGCCGCGGAATTCCAACTGGTTCCAACACAGTGTGCGGAAAAAATTTTAAAAATCCGATCGGACGGTTCCATTCCATTCCGATCTAGTGTGCGGCCACCTTTAGGGTATTCATATATGCAAGGCCGTATCTAGAAATTTTTTTCGGGAGGGGTCCAAAACATGTATATTGTAATTTTATGGAATTTAAATTTTAACTTTTGATATTTGATTAAAAATAAGATAGAAAAAGATTTAATCTTCTTTTATTAAAATTAATATCATATTTTCATATGATATCATGAAATAAAATTAAAAGCAGTCAATGGTCAATCGGAGCTTAAGTCAGTTTTGACTGAAATTATTTATGTTGGTATTAAAAATAAATAAATATTTTAAACGTTCGTATGACATTGAAGAAATTTCAGGGGGGGTCCAGACATTCTGGACCCCCCCCCCCCAGATACG